AACAGAAAACCAGTGTTTACAGAGGGAAAGGTTAGGCATGGATCCTCCATACTTTCCTAATACAGGTGTACTTTAAAGCCTAAGTGTAGCCAAAAGCATAAACAGAAAAATCAGCATAAGGGACATAACTTAGAATCAGTAGGGTGTGTCGCTTGTGCTGATTCCTCTTCTTTCATTAGTAATCCTTCTCCATCTTACTGCAGCTTCTATGAATAGAACAGGATCTCTGAATGAAGGGGGTGGAGCTCTTAAATTGTTACTAAACCCAGGACCCTGCATTCACTATATCTGGTCTTCCACAGTACACAGAACATGGAAGTGCAATTATTTTAGTAAATGTAAACTGCTAAATACCTTTTCTTATCAGCAGTTAGAGCAGTCTTGTGACTTTTATCAGTGTTCAGCAGAGCACTGGTTAAAGCTTGTAGGAGGAGTTTTGTTTCTGCTCTAGGAGGATGTAAAACCCCTGACCTCTGTCTGGACAGTACTGATTGACCCTGAACACATGCACTCTACCAAGAAAACAAAAAAACCTCACTAGCAATACACACCAAACTGAGTATGTGCAGAATGGCTATGGGTTTAGTCTGTCTTATCAGGAGATAAGTTGTGGACATTTGAACAAGAAGAGGAGCAGAGAAGTCAGGATCAAAGGGCCTTTTTACACAGTGCAGAGGATTAACCCCTTAGGTTCCACTGTGAGTATAACAAGCATGCTTTACTGCATATACAGACTGATTTTACTGTTGTGGGTTCAGTAACACTTTAATCTTCCACCTGTCCTTCATTCCTAAATCCTGTTCCATTCATGAAGCTGTAGTACAGCTTTTATGAAAGGTTGAAAACTGATACTTCATTTTATTACCATGTGATCCTGCCAGTAGACCTGTTATTTTTTCATTTCCTTTAGCAGACCAAGTTGTCCAGCAAAAATGGCATTTGGGGAGGGGGGGGGGGGGGGGTTGAGATAAACCTTATAACACTGACAGGGAGTGCTTAAAATGCTCAGCTTCTATCCATACTTAAACCTTCCAAGGTGTTGTAACTAATTTAAAATTGGTGACAACACTGCTGTACAATTTCACTGCAGAGTGAACAGTGTTGTCACTCTGTTAATGAAAGTTAAAAATTAATGGATCTTCTGGCAGACCCAGCAGTTAATATGGTACAGAAGTGATTCAGAAAAAAAACCTGCTGATTTTATGTTAGTGACAGTTTGCATCATCTATGTTATTTTTGATTTTGCCTGTAGTTACACTTTAAAGATAGCAGCCAGAAAAGGGGCTGTTGGGTTACAAATACAAAATACGAGATGGCACTTGCAGGGATATAGAACTCTGTGACTCTTGAAGGTTGCTTTTTGATGTTTAAAATGATGTCTCAGGATATTCTATTGATCCAGAAAATAAGTGTACACAATTTTCCTCTTTGAGTCAATCTCTGCCTGCTGATTTTTGCATAATAGGGGTGTTGCCATAGCTTCATCTGTGACTGTGCACATACCTAGAAAACATTAATTTTGCCTGACACGTTTAAATCTAGCTTCATGCTGTTCTGACAGAGGAAAGCTATATAGCCCTTTGGCTACACGATTTGTAAACTCTTCTCTGACACTTTTCAGGATCATTTTCATCTTTTTTCCCCAGGTATTAACATGAAGCTGCTTATCTGTTACATAGCTACTAAATCTAAATTGCAGGCTAATGTAGAATAAAATGACATTTGGCAAGTCATAACAATTGAAGAAGTGATCTGTCATACCATATCTTTAGGCCACTCACACACCTAGGACCCCTTCACACACACATGCACATACATGTTGTTTAAACCCAGAGGGAGGAGAAGACAATAGACATGAAAAGGGTTTAAATGGATGGGCCACTTCTGTTCCACTAGTTTCCAGCAGAAAGCCACATATATCATAGACAACCCCTTCCAAAGCCTAACTCCAGTTATGCTGTCATTTATATAACGCAATGGACTAAACAGAGTTCAATTATGTTTGAATGGAAAAATACTAATTGTGGCCATTTTTTGTGGAAGCTGCAGGAACAAAGACATTATAAAAAATGGCCACTGACCCAGTCTATAACTGGCCTTCACAACAAGGAGCACATGGAAGGGCGACGCATGTCAAACAACAAAAAAGAAAAATTCCCAGCTCAACTTTCCAACCAGCCTGCAAACAAACAAACCGAATTATAATGTCTAACAGTATGCGTTAAAAACAGGGGTTTAGTTAGCACACATTTGCAAATACATGCGTAAGCTACAGAGCCTCGTCATGGCACCCTGATATTCTGTAGTTCCTAATTCTGCAAATTTTTAGAGCCCCCATAGTAGAGGCACATGTATTTAATGGATAGACCAAGGACAGGTGGACTTGAGGGAGCCCACCCCTACTTAAAGGTACAGGAGCGCACTGGACACCCAGCATGTAGCACAATGGCAGCTAAGGTGTCCAGTGCACCCCCCCTCACCAACAATTCAACAGTACAAAAAATGGCCGCTGACCCAGTCTATAACTGGCCTTCACAGCAAGAAACACATGGAAGGGCGACGCATGTCAGACAACAAAAGAGAAAAATTCCCAGGTCAACATGCCAACCAGCTGGGCTGGCTGGGGCAGTGGCCATTTTTTGTACTGTTGAATTGTTGGTGAGTGGGTGCACTGGACACCTTAGCTGCCATTGTGCTACATTCTGGATGTCCAGTGCACTCCTATACCTTTAAGGAGGGGTGGGCTCCCTCAGCTCCACCTGCCCTTGGTCTGTCCTTTTTTTTTTTTTTGACATATTAGTTTATCTTTTGACATATTACCAGGACTAAAAAACATCCCCATTCACCCTTCACATTTTATCTTTCAGGAACTCTGCTTGTTGTAGACTAAAGGCTGCAATAAGAAGGCCCCTTCTTATCGTATACCAAATTGAGCTTTCCTAATCCCCCTGACACCTATGATGGGAACCGACTTTTCCCACAGACATCAATGATGGGGCACTATTTTGCCCACTGATACCAACAGTGAAGCACTATTCCTCCTACTGATACCAATGACGAGGCACTTTTCCTCTTACTGACACCAATAGTGAGGCAGTTCCCTCCTATTGACTCCAGCGATGGGGCACTATTCCTCCTACTGCCACCAATGTTAGAGCACTATTCCCGCCAATGATACCAACAATGGGCGCTTTCCTCCCATTGGTGCCAACAATGGAACACAGTTCCTACAACTGACACCAATACAGCACTATCCCTCCCAATGACACTAGTATTGCACTATTCCTTCCTCTGGCACCAGCAATGGGGTACTTTTCCTCCCACTGACACCGATGCTGGGACACTATTCCTCACACTGACACCAACAATAGAGCACTGTTCCTCCCACTGATACCAATAGAGCACTATTACTCCCACTAACACCAAGAATGGAGCATTATTCCTGCAAAAGACACCAACATTAGGGCACTTTCCTCCCATTGACACCAACAATGGACTGCTGTTCCCACAACCAACACCAATGCAGCACTGTTCCTCCCAATGACACAAATAAAGGACTATTCCTTCCTCTGACACCAGCAGTGGGGCACTTTCTCTCTCCCACAGACACCAACAGAGCACTATTTTTCTCATTGACACCAATAGGACACTATGGGGTTGAATTACTGAAGGTAAATATACTGCAACTGCAAGTGCAGTTGCTTTAGATCTGAAGGGAAGCTCTGAAATGAGGCGAAGCTCAGCTGATTTCTCTAATTCAATCATGTGCAAGCAAAAATGATGTTTTTTATTTTCCTTGCATGCCCCCCCCCCCCCCCCCCCCCCCCCCCCCCCCCCCCAGATCTAGAGCAACTGCGCTTTCAGTGCACTTGGAGTGTACAGCCTATATAACTTTAGTAAATCAACCCCTGTGTCTCCCACTGACCCCAATAAAATAGTAATCCTTCCTCTATCACGGACAATGGGGAACTACTCCCCACTGCCATCAATGATGGAGCACTATTCTTCCCACTGACACCAACGATGGCATGCTTTTTCTCTCACTGACACCAACGATGAAGCACTATTTATCCTAATGACACCAACAGTGGAGCACTATTCCTCCCACTGGCACCAATGATGAGGCACTGTTCTTCCCACTGACACCAACAATGGGCTACTATTCCTCATACTGACACCAACAATGACTGACACCAGTGAGAGAGTACTACTTTCCCTAGTGTCACCAGCAGTGGGGCACTATTCCTCCCACTGACACCAGCAATGACTGTCAAGGCATTTATTATTCCCATTGAAACTGGGATATTTTGTGATTCCCACTGACCACTGATGCATTTGCATTTTCTATCCCTGCTGACCTGTAAGTCTGACATTAGGGCATTTTTCTTCTCACAAAAATAGACTGGCCCCCCATTGGTGAATTTGCCCTTTGTTTAAAAATTTGACAACACCTAGTGTAGAGTCCTATTCTCTATTACAACATTCTTAATCATGTAAGCTAGCATTCTAAATAGTTTTTATAACTACAAAAGTAATATATCCATTCTGGTGGAAAGAATTGTTGATATGCCTCTGAGGTGCACCAAGCAATAATTGTATCTGGAAAATAGTTTGTTGTAATAGTAGGTTAAAGTGATAAATGGTTATTGTTAGTGATTTCACCAGTGCCATGTCCTGCTTTTCAATGTCACTCCAGTTCTTAAAACAGTAAATGACTCCTATTTTATCTTGCTGCTACCATTGCTGTGAATGTTCCCTAAATGATTGTTTGTTTGTTTTCCTTTCATACAGCCACCATCTGATAGCTCTTGCATATACCAGTAAAGCAGAATTTAGAGCAGCAATGCAGCATGAAAAGGAAACATACACTATATACAAAACAGTGGTAAGTAGATTTGTTGTTTGCAAAAATAACTGTGCAACAAAAACTGTATTAATAAGTGACTGCATGATTCAGATTTTCATGTTACATTTCAATCTAAAGGTGCTTTTCCTTTTTTTTCTGCCAGTGGTGGGCAGGTACCATGTAGGTGTCACGTTATGGAACTGAGCCATTCACAGACCTGCTTTTAAAGTGTTACTAAACCTACAACAGTTAAATCCATCTGTATATGCAGTAAAGTATGCTTTCTATACTCACTGTGGATCCTAAGGGGTTAATCCTCTGCACTGTGTGAAAAGGATGTTTGATCCTGTCTTCTCTGATCCTATCCTTTTTCCACAGTCCCCAATCCATCTGCTGATAAAAAATGTATTTTACTTAAAAGTGTTATTACACCCAGGACCCTGCATTCACTATATCTGGTCTCCCACAATACACAGAACATGGAAGTGCAATTATTATAGTAAATATAAAAACCGCTAAATACCTTTTCTCATCAGCAGTTAAAGCAGTCTTGTGACTTCTATCAGTGTCCAGCAGAGCACTGGTTAAAGACTGTAGGAGGAGTTTTCTTTCTGCTCTAGGAGGATGCAGAACCCCTGACTTCTGTCTGGACAGTGCTGATTGGTCCTGTGCTGATCACATGCAATCTCCCAAGAAAAAAAAAAACCTCTCTAGCAATACACACCAAACTGAGCATGTACAGAGTGTCTACACACGATATGTCATATCAGGAGATAAGAAGGAGACACTGAAAAAGGGGAGGATCAGAGAAATCAGGATCAAACAGCCTTTTTACATAATGCAGCGTATTAACCCCTTCGGTTCCACAGTGAGTATAACAAGCATGCTTTACTGCATATACAGACTGATTTTACTGTTGTGGGTTTAGTAAAACTTTGACAAAAAGTCCCCTATGTGATGATCTTTGGTGACAGGTTCTCTTTATTGAGACATCCAGGGTCTAAAAGACCCTGGATGTCTCCCCTGTACTGCACTGGATGTATGCAGTGCACATTGCACTGCATTACGTTCTTTCCTGGCCTTGATGGCTGGGAAATCTGTCAATGGGGATGTCAGAACCTCATTTCCAGGTCTGAACAAGAAGGGGAGCAGACATGTCCGCTCTTATGCCTCCCCTATACCCACCAGCACCTGCTGAACTAGTCAAGGACCCGTAGATGGGCAAGCGGAGCCTGGGAGACATAGCGGGCAAGGAGGCTGGCACTGCAGTGGGCTGTGTGGAAGCATTTGGGTGGTAGCGCTGCCATCTGAATGCTTCCACCAGACAGGTGAGCCCTGCCCTCAGCAGGGCTAAAGGTTCCAAAAAACCTACCTGCCCAGCTCCCAGAACCTTATGTCCTGGGTATTGTGTGATATGAATTGAACATCCCTGTGAGGCAATCAGATAAAACAAATCCTCCTACAGTTGTACCTGATTATCTGCAGTTGTCTTTCTCCTACATCTATACATCTATTCAAAGAGCAGAATTTACACAGGATCGCTCAGCACTGAAAAGGGGGGGGGGGGGGGCTAAAGTTACATCCCCCCCCCCCTGATTGGAGGGAAGAGACACTCCCCCTTCACACAGCACACATGATCACAGCTGAGGCTGTCAATCTGCTGTCACCATTTTTCTCTTGGTGTCAGAAAAACAGAAGTGACTTATGCAGGTAGCAGAGGAACAAGGCAGCAGACAGTAATAATACTTAGTTTTCTGGACTGAGACAAGCACAAACTATAAAAGGAAATGTTTTGATCATATTTCATATCTGAGGTTCACAACCACTTTAATTAACTTGAACTCTTGACAGTAGACGCCACCTTGCCAATTGCGGTTGCAAACTTACAGCAGCCTCCACTATGCCTCAAGAGGCTAAAGAAGTCCTCTGCAAATTTAGAGTTTTGACAAAGTGGGAGCATAGCCACAGTCCTATCATGTCCAAGAATGCAATATGAGTGCCCTTTAATTGTTCACTAGGACATGTGCACTGCAGTATGGGTGTGCTATCAATGCTCTTAAGCCATTTGGGAGTTCCAAAGGTGCAGTAAAGGCTTCCAAGTGGTGCCATCCATAATATCTACACATTGGTTGGTGACTGCTATCAATAGATAAAGTTAGTATGATGTTTTATACCAGCACGCAATAGCAATGTGAAAATAGCTAAGTATTAAGTAAATCCATATTAATATCTGACATACAGCAGCTGACGTTCTAACAAGCAACATCAAGATTTGTCTTTCATGCCTTCCTTTTTCATTGCTTCTAGCTAGGTGATTCTCATGAGCGGACAAGAGAGAGTTCTGCTTTCTTGAAACATGTGACGCAGCAAGCTGTAAACCTGCAAAGAACCATGAATGAAATCTACAAAAAATGGATCGATTGCCACTTTACCACATGTCCAGGTATCTATGCAGTAGCCATGGCAGTGAAAGACTTACAAATAAAGAGAATAGAACACCAAAACTAAACTCCAGGCTTACCTTCACTTTTGCACAGTTGTACATGCTCTTCTCCTGCACCAAATTGCTTACTTTGATTTCACTGCACACTGTAAGCATCTCACAGTGTGTAGTGGAAGCTTCAGGAAGTCGAAGAAAGCCTGCTTCATTTCATTTCTTTCATCTGGGATGACCACTGTTGAGAGAAATGCTGAGGGAAGGTGTTGTATTGTGTTTAGGAACATATGTACAGGACTCCCACCCATTCTACACACACACACACACACACACACTCCATGATCTGCCTACATTGCGTAGAGAAGTACAGTGGTTCCATTACTGGGTCTTAAAAAGGTATGTAATGAAAAGGAAAAGGTTTTAACATGATGAAGGTAAAGGGGGGAACTAAGGAAGGCAAAATAAATGCAGATTAAACATTGGGTTTTTAATGGAAATGAGAGTTTTAACATTTCAAAGAAGAAAAGAGGGGCAGTATGTTGGGAATAAATGAAACACTGTGAAAGTGGATAGCTATATGTATTCTCAAGGAAAGAAAGAATCTGATCTTGCTTAACGTAAAACTGGATTCTGGAACATTTAAATCACTTTGCTAGAGAGCCCTGATACCCTTAATAAAATGAATAGTTAGTAGTAATTTTGCCAAAGCTGTATCCTTTAAAAAAAGAAAGAATGCCTTCCTTTTGTCTCCGGCCTAGGAACCCCTAATATAATGTATAGCTCTTGATGAACCCTTGCTTAACCACTAGCCTACAGGGCACTTATGCCCCCTTCCTGCCCAGGCCAATTTCCAGCTTTCAGCGCTGTCACACTTTGAATGACAATTGCGCAGTCATGCAACACTGTACCCATATGAAATTTTTAGCATTTTTTTGAGACAGATAGAGCTTTCTTTTGGTGGTATTTAATCACCTCTGGGATTTTTATTTTTTCTTAAACAAGCCAAAAACCACTGAAAATTTTGAAAAACAACATTTTTTCTTAGTTTTTGTTATACAATTTTCTAAATAAGTGATTTTTCTCCTTCACTGATGTGCGCTAATGAGGCTGCAGTGATGGGCACTGATAGGCTGCACTGATGGACACTGATAGGTTGGCACTGATGAGGAGGCACTTGTAGGTTGCACTGATGGACATTGACAGGCATCACTGATGGGCACTGAAAGACAGCACTGATATATGGCACTGATAGGCAGCACTGATAGGCGGCACTGACTGGCACTGATAGGCAGCACTGACTGGCACTGATAGGCGGCACTGAAGCACAGCACTGATAGGCGACACTGATGCGCAGCACTAATAGGCGGCACTGATTGGTAGCACTGATAGGTGGCACTGATGAGTGACATTGAAAGGCAGCTCAGATGGGCACTGATATGTGGCATTGATGTGCACTGGTATGCACTGATATGTGGCATTGATGTGGCACTGATGGGCACTGGCACGTGGCACTGATGAGCACTGACTGCTGGCACTGATGGACACTGACAGGTGGCACTTCTGGGGCCACACTGATCATCAGGGCACACTGATCATCAGTCCCTGATGATCATTGTACATGTCCCCTCCGCAGAAAGCCGATTACTGGCTCTCCTCTCCTCTCGAGCTGTCAGCGTGACAGCTCGTGGGGAGAGAAATGCCAATAACCGGCATTTCCGTGTTTACATGTGATCAGCTGTGATTGAAAACAGCTTATCACATGACCAAGCCGACATCTTCAGCTCTTTCCGTGATCCGCTATGTCCGAGGGACACAGCGCATTGGCAATCGCCGCACTGCGCGCTCCCTGAGCCGTGCATGCGCAGTGAGAATGGAAGGATGTCGTATGATGTCCTATCAGAACGAAAGAACTACCTTGTGCCCGTCATTGTACTATATGGCGGGCGGAAGGTGGTTAAACCAATTCATTGGAGGTCAGGAGGAAAAAGGGGTCAGTGGAAAAATTGCTCCTTTTATTGGTGGTCAGGCAGAAGAATGCCCCTTACATTGGTGGTCAGTGAGAAGAATGAAAACCTTACATGGATACATGGCAACCCCTCATGGATAGCTAAAAAGATCATTGGTGTCATTCTGCTGGCTTTAACAAGTGGCATTATCCCCAGATCTATGCATGCACTATCAGAGGGGAGGTCTTTGAGGCACCGCTCAAAGAACCCCTAGCAACTTCCGTCAGAACCCTAGGGTTCCAAGAAACCCGGGTAAGAATGGCTGATATAGATTCCACTGTTGATTACACTGCTTATGGTTTACTTTATGCACCTTTTTTAGATTAACTACCTTCTAAATACAGAATTGTGTTGCATTACATGTTAGAAGTCCTTTTCTGCTTGTGTAATTAGAGTGGCTAACTCTATCTGTTGTTAACACTTGTGTAACACCCCCAAACCCTGGAGGAGTTTGAGGCACTCCCAGAGACAGGGTGGACTAGCATTTTCCCAAGGCTAGGTCCATGGCTGAATTGCGGGGGATATGTAACAATTGGGCACCAGTCATTTTAAAGACTTTTTAAAGATTTTATTCCTTACAGCAACACATGGGATAGAGGGATATGGAATTCTGAACACCCTTACTAATTTACATACTCAAAAGACTCTATCCATAGACCTCAGTACTAGCAAAAGGGGCCTTTAATCTGAAACCAGCAACCTGTACTTTTTCCATAAGCAGTAGAATATCTAACAGCACCAGCAGCAACCTCAGTGATCCTCTTGATGTTTTCCCAGGTACTCCACAATATTCTTGCCTTTGGGATCTCCAACAGTAGAGTCACCTCTGGTACACCATCCCAGGCATCACTGCCCCTTCCAGACTCCTGTCCATCACCTCCTGACACCTGAGCCATTGCCTCTAGCTGCAGGACAGGTAGATAGGCTACCTTATGCAGCTCCCAGACATTTGAACCAAGCACATGGAAATACACAACCTCCCAAGGCCGAAACCCAGGGGGGAAAGAGAGCTCACAAGGTCCACCCAAAATATTTATGCTCTCCCCCAACATACACCATTGGCAACAAACCTCCTACTGGTTGGCCAAAAATATAAAAAATATTTATAACTCAGTATTATTGTGGCATCTCACTCTATTGCTAGAGATACCAGGGACACCAATTGGTAGCAGGAAGCAACAACAGCAAAAGAGACT